GGGATCGGAGAGGGGCCCTCTGACACTGAGGAGACAGCAAGCCCCCTGTTTGCTGGGACGATGACCACAACTATGAGAATTCAAGGCAAATCCAGGAACAGCGAGTGCTCATCCAGCCCTGGCCCAGGGAGGCCGGGATGGGCGTGGGCGCCTTGGGGCCCTGGCAGCAAAGATCAGGGCAGTGGGCGGGTGTGGTGCCAGGTGTCTCTTGCTGTGGCTGAGGCTGGCTGGCTGGGGGGTACCGTGTTTGGTAAAACAACTGCCCGGGGATGCACAGTCTAGGGGAAAGGGGTACACTCCAGCCCCCAGACCTGTGGGCCTGTCTGCAAGGCAGCCGGGAGCCCACAGGAGGCCCCGCTTCCCTGGCTCTGTTCTGTGTCATCTGGTTTCCTGCCTAACTAATAATGAAGTTTGGTGGAGCAAAGCAGCCCTACCTATTTTTCAGAGCGTGTTTTCTGGTGTATGGCCAGCCCGACAAGGCCCAGGGCCCCAAGAAAGGAGGGAGGTTGGGATCCTGTAATTGAAATCTGTTGATGTGAAGGCACTGTGAGGAGTTCCCAAGGGGGGGACCAGGACAGCCTCCAGAGAGGAAGCTCAGGAGACAGGGTGACAAGTTGTAAACAGCCTAATGAGCTGTGCCAGGACCAGGTGGGCAGGTGGGCCAGGCCTGGGGTGGGCCTGCTGCGGCAGGATCTAGGGGACGGGAGCGCCTGGCCTCTGAGCTCAGTTCCTGGTGGTGGAGGAAGCCGCCATGGGGGCGGGTGCAGGAAGGCCTCCCCGACACACACCACACACTTCCTTCCACTTCTCTCTCCTTTGTCTCCCTGGCTGCCAGAGGGAGCCCAGCCCTCCCGGCCACCACAGCCTCCCATCTCTCTGCTAGTCCAAGTGCTGCTGAGTCTTCAGGCCTTGGCTCAAATGCCACCTCTCTCAGGAAGACTTCCCTGACTGTACCAGCACAGCTGACCTGACCCCTTCTGAGTGCCTAAAGCACTCAAGAGCTGGCACTTGTCACTCCACTGCCCTGGGTCACTCAGTGGTTTGGTGGCTCAGCCGTCCCACCTCTCCCCACCTTCACTCTTTATTCTCATGGGAGAACCAGGCACACATTTGGCACTCATTAGTTGCACATTGGACACTCATTTCCCCAGGCAGCACCTCTGGAAGGGAACACAACAGAAGATCAGAGTAGAGCTGAGACTGAGAGAGCCAAACCTCTGACCCCTGGGCCAGCCTTTCCTGCAAAGCCCCAGGTTCAAAACCTACCCTTCCGTGGCCTGACCTCCACGGGCTTTCTGCCGTAAGAATGCAGCTCAGGCTGTCTCAGGGGACAAGGGCCTGCATTTCTCTCTCTTGTTATCATTAGAACCTAGCTCCTCTGTGTTTAATTAATTCTCTGATTTTCCCAAATTCTCATCCCCACTAGAGAAAAAGAGTACCCTTGCTCAAAAAGCCTTCTGTAGCATTTCAGGATGTGGCAAGCTCTTTGATTATGCAATGAGCCTTAGGCAACATTCATGCTAAGTACCCCAAGTGCAGTGTGCTGTAGTCAAGCCTTAGGCCTCCTTTCTGCTTCTTGTTGGAACAGGAAGATGGGATGCCTGGACCCAGGTTTTCCACTTCTTTCTGGGAGCTTCCTTCGGGTGTCTGTTATCCATCCCACCCCAGGTCTCATACAACCTCAGCTCTCAGTCTTTGCTGGAAACAGCTCTTGGCAAAGTCACAAGCCGGGCTCTGCTTGCCCTTCTGTGCTCCCATCTGTGCACAGGCACCAGCCCCAGGAGGGGCAGCCGAGCTTGGGACTGCCGTGTAAGGAGGGCTGAGTGGGCTGTGAGGCCAAGCTGCAACCCCAACCAGCCACATTGCTTTGCTAAAAGTGCCAGCTAAAAATGGGTGTGTACCTGTGCAGGAGGATTTGAAATGTGCATTTATCTGGACTGGCCCAGGATTGGAGAAACTGCCCCATTTTCCACTGATCTGGAGCAGATTATGTGTGTGTCCCCTGTTCTTGGTGCTGCAGAAAGTCCTGGGCTTTGGAGGGAGGCCAGCAGCTGCTGGGGACCCAGTCCTGCCTTGCCCCTTCCCGCTGAAGGATGGGAGTGAGGTCCTCCCTCTCTCAGCCTGGTCTTAGCATGGGGGTATGAGAGCACCTGCCTCCCTCCTTGACTTGTGAGGATTAAATGAGAGAAGCTGCTTCGCAGCATTGGGCCTGGGCCCACAGTCGGCTGTCAATCAGTGCGGCAGTTAGGTAGCTTTTACCAACACTCCTTGGTGGAGCCCCAGCTCTGCCCCTTCACAGATGCTCCCTGGGCTCCCTTCTCATCACCTGCCACCCCCACCCTCAGCAGGATCGCTGAGCTCTCCCCCGGGCTCTGTGCACACTCTGTCAGCCTCCACCCCCTATCCCCAGACACATGATGAGGAAAGGAGGTGAAGGGACACTGGGAAAAAGTCCGTTACCAGAGCAAACGTTATGCTCCAGGGGACACCACTCGTGCCCCCACTGTGGGCTCCAAAGTCCAATGGCCCGATACACACCCTGGCTCCTGACTTACCCTCGCTGTGGCCTTAAGTGAGTCCCTTACCCTCTCTGTGCCCCAGTTCCCCCCTTCCCGAAGTGGGGTAATAAAAGTGCTTGCTCTGTAGGGTTTTGTGAGCATTAGCTGAGACTGTGTGGAGCACGTAACACGGTCCCTGACACAGCACTCAGAAACCTTCGCCTGGCATTGCCCCCGGACCCCAGAGCCATCGTGTCCCGTGCTGTGACTCTAAGTGAGTCCCTTACCCTCTCTGTGCCCCAGTTCCCCCCTTCCCGAAGTGGAGTAATAAAAGTGCTTGCTCTGTAGGGTTTTGTGAGCATTAGCTGAGACTGTGTGGAGCACGTAACACGGTCCCTGACACAGCACTCAGAAACCTTCGCCTGGCATTGCCCCCGCACCCCAGAGCCATCGTGTCCCGTGCTGTGTGACTTGGGGGGATGGTTTCCATCACCTGAGACCAGTTCCCAGGGAGGGGGGCCTCTGCCTCTGACTTTTCCACCACTCTCACCTCCCACCATCCTTCTGGTTTCGCAGCTGAGCTGTTCATGGAGCAGAAGCACCTCAAGGAAGCAGGCTTCTGCATCCAGGAGGCAGCGGGCCTCTTCCCCACCTCGCACTCGGTACTCTACATGCGGGGCCGGCTGGCTGAGATGAAGGGCAGCTTGGAAGAAGCCAAGCAGCTGTACAAGGAGGCGCTCACAGTGAACCCCGACGGCGTGCGCATCATGCACAGCCTGGTGAGTCGGCCCCACGCCCCAGCGAAAGGCCTCAGGGTCCTTCTACCCCATCACCCCTTCGATGCCGGCAGGTGCCTGCCTCGCTACTACTATTCCGTGGTATCCGTGGGGGGAGAGGGAGGTGGCTTCCTCCCTGCTCTGCTGGGAGAGACAGAGGGGGCCATTTCCCTTCAATCAGAGCCTGCCTGAGTTGATGAAAAAATCTGGGAGGACTGATTGATGTCCTTTGTGACTGTCTTTTTGCTGTAAGTTTCCGAACATCAATCTAGCCCCAAAGGGCTTTCACTGTTGCTAATCAGATCTTCACTCTGGAGACTCTAGATACCAAAATGCTCTTTTTTGTGGGGGGTCTCCAGGCTCTTCCTGATCACTGGGCTGCCTCCTCCATTTCAGAGGAGCTCCATGCCTCCTTGGCGGGATTCAGGGGATGTCCTGGGGTGGGCTGTCAGGTCAGGCCGGACTAGAGCACACACTGAGAATGGCCCATGGGGCCCCCAATCCTAGAACATGGAGCTCAGGACTTGGGGTCCCAGGGCTCGGTGACCTTTCTATTGGAAGGTCGGAGGCTGGGAGCAGGAGGCTGGTGCTCTTGTCCCAACCTTGCCATTCTCTTCCTGGGTGATCGTGGGCAACTCAGCCACCTTCTTCAAACCTTGGTTTACTTACCTGTGCAGTGGGGGGTCTGCAGTCCAGGAAACATTTGTCAAATACCTGTGCTGACAGATGGTACAGTCGGCATAACCGTTTTCCCCTGCCTTCCTTAGCAGAGAGCAGGTATCAGGATAAATGCAGTGATCTGAAAGTGTACAGGCCTGCGTGGGAACAGTGATTCTGAAGTATAATTTAGGAGCCCACGGTTAGCGGATCAGCCTTCACCTGTCAGGGTCCGGGTTCCACCTCAGATGTCCCCTTCGAGAGCTCTTTGAGGAGAACAGCCATGAGGGTATCACTGCCATCTGCCGCATGGGGAACACAGAGGCATCAGGAGGACGACTCCAGATGGCTGCAGGGTTATCACTGCCAAAAGGGGTCTGATTTGTCCATGGGTAAAAGCTACAGGGACTCAGATATCAGCTTCATGTCAGGGAAAATGGTATAACTCTTAGAATAGTCCAAACACAAACTCAGGAGTCATCCGATGAGGATGTTGCCAAGAGAATGGAAACGTCGCATGGGGAGGATCTGGACCAGGTCATCTTATAAGGGCCTTTCCAACCCCAAGAGCCCTTGAAAACAGATTGGAACAGGGATCTCCAGCTCAGCTATTATTCCCACTGCCTTATTTTTTAAAGGCTTTCCAGCTTAGCCCCATGCGAATGTTCCGTGTCAGCTGAAGAAAGCCCGCTCAGCGACATCACAGCCTGGCCCGCGTTCTCCTCCACATGGCTCCCAGTTGCCTTCCAGTCTGCTCAGCAAATGTTTGTTTTTTGCAAGGCACATCCTCCTTCCTCCCACAGTTTAGACATTAGCTCCTCTGATGAATGCCTCCCCAGAGGTCACATCCAGAAACTTGATTAGGGAGGTGGGAGGGAGGATGTGGGTTATGTCATTAGGCCAGCAGCCAGGCAGAGATGTCTGCCTTCCACTGCACTCACGGATCTGAGCCTGCCGTTCAGACCCTAAAACCCGAGGAAATCCAATAACAAGCACAGTTTTGAAGTAACAGTGTACCATTTTTCATTTATGCTTATTATCGTCTGTAGCTATTTCCCTGACATTGAAGCCGGTTCCAACGGTGGGTTTCCATGGTAACTAAAGAGCTGTCCAGAGTGGCTCCCTACAGATGTTTCTGAAACGGTCCCTTTTCTCTTCCGGGGGTGCCTTGCTGATGTGGTGAGATTGGAGGAGTCGGAGGCAGGCCTGCCCACTTTTAACGTTACAAGCAACCGGAGGGGCTGTCAGCTCCAGCGTGGGCAGCCCATCCCCTTTCCACAGGCTCTGTTCCTGCCAGCATCCCACACACATGCATACAGAGTAGCAAATTTCAATCCTGGGAAAGATTTACTAAGCATTCTCTTCCAAAAGACATGCGAACACTTGGTGTGTTGATCTCCAGTGGTCCCTGATCTAAGTGTCTTCCCTGTGCTCAGAACCAGGACATCTGGGACCTAATCCTGGCTCTGACCCTAATTCACGTGGGTGATTTAGAAAAAGACACACTTAACTTCCACGCTCCTGATGTCTCCTTTTGTAAATGAGTAATAATCACCCCTAGGCCAATGTTCTAATCAGATGAGGTGACACATGTGAAAGTGCTTCTAAAAGTCTGCAGAGCAATATCAGAGAAGGCAAGCACAGCGTATTTGCCACCACTCTGCAGTCCCTCGCCCATGACACACATTGCTAATCAATCATGGCTGTTTTTTCCACTGAGCACAGATGTGACGTTGGACTCTTTTTCATCACGAGGGGAACTACTACCTGTCAGTCAGCTTGACAGTTTTATAAGGGACTCATCGTAAAAATAGTAGAGAATGGGAGTGACACATAAATCGTCTCAACCTTTGTAAACTCCAGAGGTGGATGCATATGAGACTTATCCAGGGAAAGGAACGTGAAGGGGAACTGGTGTCCTTTTGTGGAGACATTGACAAGGAAGGTTCCCAGGGAGGACATCCTGGCCCCACCACACCACTGTGGCTTTGTGAGTACACTGGCCTCTGGTAGGTACAAGCATCCCCTGAGGGCACAGCCCCCCCACAGCCTGGCCGGTGGGAGCTCTGGGGCCCTCAGTGAGCTCTCTGAGGTAGTGTTTAAGTTCCACTCCCTGAGGTCTGGAGAGAGGAAGGTGGAGGTAGACTCAGTGAGCTGTGTGGGGGGCCAGGTTCAGACCTACAGTCCTAAGAGCAGAATCCTCAAACACCAAGAAGCTGGCCTCTGAGCCTCTCTCTGGGGCTATGTATGTGGGACAGGATATTTGGGGCCAGGTTGGAGAAGGCCTCTGGGAGTGGAAGGCTGTTGCTTTCAGGAGTCCCAGGGTTCAGGCATTTCTAAGAATATGAATTTTGGCCCAGAAGCAGTTTATCTATACTCTCCTGTCCTGCTGCCCTCCTCTCCTGGATGTGACGAGAGACCTTCCCGTGAAGGCCTCCACCCTGGGCTCGGCTCAGGGATTTCCACCCAGATCAGGCAGGAAAGAGATACCTCCTTGGCAGAATACCGCCCAGGCAGTCTCCACTGTGCCCACAGCAGTGTCCCAGAGGAGTCTGTGTCCTCAAGCCCTGGTCCTGCAGCTGCCACCCCTACTAGACTCAAGGAAGGCCAGGTTGCTTTGAGAGAGTGCCAAGTGCAGAAGGGGAAAGGCGTGCTCTCTGCAGACAGACGTTCCCAGTGAAATCTTAGGAGCAGGTCCTGACAGTCTGCCAGCTCTCTCTCAACCTCCTGTCCAGGTAGCCAGAAGCCCCACTCATTCACAGGCTCAGCCAGAGAAGCGTCCTCAGGCAGCCTATACCCATTTCTCTGAGCCTGTCTCTGCCTAGCCCTTCCCATCCCTCTGTGCCCCCAGGGAGGCGAGATGCCTGGGGATGGCAAGGAGCTCAGGTATGGCTGATGGACTGGCCAAGTCACTGAAAGCCCCCAAAAGAGGGGGTTCCACTGAGGTCACCTAACCTTAATGGTAGGAAGATCACTAGCCCTGGCTACAGACCAACTTGCTGTCCCTGCTCTTCGCTTGGCTGAGCTGGTAGTATGGATGCTTTGATGCAGCCTGGCTCACTACAGAGAAAGCCTCAGCCATGAGCGGGCAGGTGTGGGTGCCTTCCTGCCTCCTGCCTTTGGAGGCGGCACCCTGCCCTTCTGTCCTGGACACACTCTATGGGGGGGATGGTTTCGTGCTCTTCTCTGGCCCCTGCCCCTAGTCATGCTCTCTTCTTGGGAAAGAGCTCGAGGTTCCTGCTGCCCCATCTCCCCCTAGAATCCTTTCCTCCTCAGACACCCAGCAGCAGGGGCAGAGTGTAGTGCATGAACTTCGGTTCCTGTGATGTAATTCCTGGGGATGGAATTTCTGAAGCAATCCTGGTCGCTTGACATGGCCTCTTCTCTCTCCAGAGGCCCCTGGAAAGGTGGGAAGACAGAGTTTCTGTCCTCGTTTCTCTCTGGTGAGAGCGCGGCCATGAATTATTCTCCTGCAGTTATTCCCTCCTGCTCCTAGTGTGAAGCTGCTGTTTCATTCTTTGAGTGGATTTGGAGGATCAAGGGCGTGGCCATCAAGGGGGCCCTGGAGATTACTTCCCCTCACTGACTCAGTTTTCTATCAGATGGGAATCATTCATACCCTTGTGACCTCAAGGAGTAGCTTTACCCTTGTGACCTCAAGGAGTAGTTTTAGGGCTCAGATGAATGAGACCTGTGAAAAGATAAGTTAACATTAGGCATTTTTGTTACCATTTTTGTGGAAGACTCGGTGGCAAGTGGCCTGATCCCACCTTTGACCAGACTGCTTGACCTTGCTGCTATGGGGTGGGCATCTTTGGCACAAATTTCCTTGTGCTGCCAAGTGGCCCATGGCATCAGCAGGGTACCGAAAGGTGGGTTCAGGGACCAGGGACTTCAGAGCTGCCTTTGGGATTGCCTCTGGGGCTGGTTGGCTGGAACAGTTTTTAAGCCCCAGTATCAGAGCTGGCTTGAGCCTAGAAGTTGGAACATAGCCTTCGAGTCTGACTGACCTGGACTTGAGTCCTTTTTTGCCTATACTTGCTGTTTAACCTTGGCCAAGTTCCTCAGCCTCTTAGAAGTTCAGTGTCCTTGTTGTAAAATGGGAACCATGACGCCAAGCACCTAGGGCTCCTGTTAGAATTAGGTTAAATGACCCTATAAGTTAATGGTCCTGTAGTTGGGGTTACTTGTATTTTTTTTTCATTTAGAAGCGTGTCTCCCAGGCGAGGTTCAGATGCTCTTGGTTTGCAGAGAGAAGTGGAAGCCAAGAGCTAAGCCCCAGAGACTCGTTGCGGCAAAGCTGCTTAGTCCTCACTGAGCCCACCAGGTGACTCTGCCCAGGGCACAGATGCACAGGACATGGGTCCCAACGGCCCTGCGGCTGTGACAAGAGTGTACACGGTACAAGGCCCAGCTGACATTAGCTGAGAGTAAGGGCGGCCTATTCAGTAAGCGAGAGTCTGAGCTGAGGGATGAGGGGGATTTGAGACCTGGTTTTTTAGTCTTGTATGTTGGCTGAGACTCTTCAGCTAAAGAGGCATTGCGGGGCCCTGAGGCTGTGGGAGAGGAGCAGGGGAGAGGAGGCCCTGCTCAGCCCTGCCCTCCGGCCCATAGTCATACCAGCTGGTTCAGCCTCTGCTCCCCAACTCTAAGGAAGAAAGGCATCCTGAGCAGCTGAGAAGTGAAACTCAGTGCTGAGCCTTCTGGAAGTTCCCTGACTCTGGGCGAGGTTGCGGTGTACAGAACAGCAGGATCTCTGGTTCCTGGGTCCCTATCCCTCGGGACCCAGGATGCCCCATCTACCCTGGGGCCGCCCTTCTTGTCAGCGGCAGGAGCAGTGGCAGGTAGCTTAGAGGGTCCAGGCAGCCTGAGGGAATGGGAGGACGCAGAAGTACTGCACTCTGCTGTGTGTTCTCCACACGCATGCTGAGCCCCTCGTCAGTGGAGTCTGTCTGCCCTACCAGCCCCAGCACATGGAGAATATTGCCTTCGTTTGACAGAAAAGTTCAATAGGAGGGTTGTTGGTCATTTGACCTCCTAGAGAGGTGATTTTATTGTAAGTTCCGTCTTTCCTTTGCCTCCCCAGTGCTGCCTGAGGTATGTAGTCCCTGATGAAAAAGTGAAGGAAGAGGGGGGAAGAGAGAGTTCTGGGCTCACCATGTGGAGAGTTGGGGGTACAAGGCCATCACTGGCCTCACTGGTGTTTGGAGGCCCCTGCCCTCCCCACCTCACCCTCAGCCCAGGCTCAGAGACCCTCCAGAAGATGAGGATGGTTCCCCTGGCTCTGGCTCAGGATTTTGGAAAGCCTTAGCCTGGTGCGTGGGCTCCTCAAGTCCCTGCCAACCCTGACGAGGAAGTGGAAAGGAAGCTTTCTGTCAGCCTGTCACTGATTCAGATCAGAACGTTAGTTAAGCACTGTTGGCTTAGTTTAGCCCCAGCATCAATGGTCTGAAAGACTCACTGTGTCTGGAGGGTGCAGCAGGGTCCCGCCCTTTCCTCCTTGTCCATAGGCAGGCACCACCCCACTCCCACCCACACAGGCCATCACCACCCTCTGAGGCTCGGCCTTCTGGTCTTAGAGGGGGGCTTCTGCAATGGGCCCCCTCAGGGTTAAGTTAGGGGTTAAGTCATGTCCAGGGTGGGCTGAGCCCCCAGCCCAGAACCTGAAACCAGCCCAGAAAACAGGAGGAAAGGCTCCACCCCCTGCCTAGAGGCGGGTCTGGCAGAGGAGCCCCCAGGGTATGACTTGTCCTCTTGTCAAGTCAGCGCTTATCCTGGAGCCTGGCCTGGGGCCCCCTGAGGACAGACACCCATCCCGGAGGAGAAGCCCACTGCTGCTCTTTTACATCTCCCTTCTGGAGTCCCCAGGCGTGGGTGCTGCCACACACAGAGCACAGCCACGTCTCCGCTACCCCAGAAGGCCCCCACCTAGGCTGGGCTCTGAGTGAGTGTGGGTGCTCCCTCATCAGAGGCCTCTTCCTATGAGAGTCTGAGGGTGCTCTGAGGACACTGGTCAGCCAGGCATTGGATGGGGTCTAGAAGGATTTGTGTCCCTTCTCCCAACAGGGAAGTAGGACCAACCTGTGGGTGTGGGGCCACCCAAGTTCCATGATGGATGTGGTGATGTCTGGGCTGGGTTCTCAGCCTGAAGAGACACCTCATTCCCAGTCTGGTTGGACAGGTTGAGGCTGACACACCTGGGAGAATCCAGCATGCCGGAATGTGGGCCTCCCTCGACGGGCGTGTCAGCACCCCAGGATGGATGAAGGGAGGGAGCCTTCCTGTGGAGCAACCTCAGAGGTGCCCCCCTACTCACAGGCTCCTCTCTGCAGCCCCAGGTCCCCAAGCAGGAGGCTCCAGGGACCAGGAGGCTCCAGCAGCCTCCAGCTGATTCCCGGCTTCCCAGCTGGAAAGGCTGACAGAATCCCAGGAATGTGCCTTGAGCTCAGAAAGAAAATTCCCAAAATAACTTCTATAAATACTTGAGGGTAGGGGCGGGTCAGAACGCTCAGCTCTCAGCCTGGCCTGCAGCTGGCCTAGCACTAGGGGCTAACTTCCCAGGGCAGGCATCCCCCCAAAAGAGGAAAAAGACACTCACAGCCGGGACTTTCCTGCTGCCCCTCCCTTCTAGGGGACAGTGCAGGCACTGAATTAATGAGGTGAGATGGTATGCAGTGGCAATTCTGAAAAATAAGACAGAATCCTTCATCCCCACCCTGTACCTCCATAGAAAACCTGGGCTCCTAACAGGGAGAGACCCTCTGAGGGACCCTCAGGCTGCCTGTCCTTGTAGCCATAAGCAGGCTACTAAGCATACCTAAGTGCCTCTGGTGTACCTGGCTCTGAGCCCAGACTCTCCCACCCGAGTTCTGTTGAGCTGCTGTCCGGTGGGGAATGGCCAAGCAGGGAGGAGCCAGGGACCTGTCCCTCTCAGCCTAGGGAGGGGCAGAGCAGGGATCCTATAGGTCAGCCCACAGTAATGGAGCATGATGTTAAGGTAATGGTGTGGGCAGGAGGGACTGCTGTCCTCTGGGAAGGCCTGAGACCCAGGAAGGGAAGGAGGAAGGAATGGATGAAGTCGGGAATTTCTGGGACTTCCCCCAGAGCCTGCCTCTCTGTGAGTGGCTGTAATTAACCCTGGCACCTCTCACAGGCACAGCGCTCCTCACCACACACAACTTGCACCGCCCTTTCTGATCCCTGTGCGTGGGCAGCACAGCTCTGGCCTCTCCCAGGTGAGGGTCACTCAACAGGTCTGTTTTTTCTGGGTTCAGGATAGGGAGGAGTCAGCAGGGATATTTGGATGGAATTGTGTTCCAACCATCTCCCTGGAGCCCAGTTCTCTGGGCAGCTAGGGGTGGGGGTACCAGAAGGGTGACGGCGGGCCCTCAGCAGTGCTGGGCTGGGGGCAGAGCAGGTGAGACCTTGAGTCTTCCTGGGGCACACCCTGCCCAGTTGTTAGGCAGCAAACAGCTCCGAGTTGCTACCAAACATGAACGGGCTGGTGTCTTAGGCAGGTGGCCGCAGATCCTGTTACAGGCCCTGGGCCTCTGGGCCCCAGCCTGACCCCAGCCCGGTGTCTCCTTTCAGGCTCTAAGGTCAGCACCCCAGGGTGGGAGGGACACGATCCAATCCCAGCCCTGCACACAGTCTTCCCCCACAGAGAGCCCTGCCCTCTAGAGAAATCAGTTCTTCCACCCACTCCTTGCCCCCCTCCCAGGACCCTCTGCTCATCCAGGGGACCCTTCCATTGGCTGTCTGCACACCTTGTGCCCTGCTACTGATTTCAAATTCATCGTTGTAGAATCCTCATGATAGTCTACAAGGAAGGACTCTTCTGTTCTCTGGTTTACAGATGAGGAAACCTCAGCTCAGAGAAAATGGGCCGCTTGCCCGGGGTCACTGCCCTTGTCAGTGGCAGAGCTGGGATTCTGGTGGCTGTGGAGCCCTGGGCTTGTCCTCCGCACAGAGCATGCAGAGGGGCCTACTGCAAACCCTCCATAGTGAGAATAACACACACACACACGTGCACATGCATGTATGCACACACATGCATGCACTCCCTGTTCAGCCCGCAGACATCTGGCCCCTTCCCAAACACCCACATGCTTCTTGAGATCAGAGGTTTTCGAACATGTTTTTTGATGGAGTCCTCTTCAAAGACTCATGAGATAGCTCAATATAGAAATCTGTGTGTGTAAAAGCCGCTGCGGCCCCGCCCCCTCTCTGGGAGGTCCTGCTGGCCTTCCCCATCTGTCCTCTATCGCTCCCCCATGGGCAGCACTCACAGGGCTCAAACCTTCCATTTTTGGTGCTTAATTTTGGTGTTTGGAGGCCTGTCGTCTCGCCTTTCCTTCCCTCCTCCCTGTTGGCCCTGTTCCATTGTGAGCTGCTCAGGGTCCAGCTCCCAGGCCCTGTGGGCAGAATGGCTTGGCCTGGAGCCCTGCTGGCCAGACTGGGCACGGCCCTGTGGTGCAGGGCAGCCCTGAGTCAGCACCGCTCCCATCTGGCCAGAGCCGGAGCCCTGCCTCAGGCTCCACCTGGCCACGGCTCCCCTGTCCTCCCTTGTCCTCTGCCCCATATCCCTGGTTCCCTGCAGATGGCTTCACCCTGGGTTGAGGAGACTGTGAATACAGCTCCCTCTTTCTTAACCACCCCTTGGCCACAGGACCACCAGCCAGTACCGCCAGAGAGGGAGAGGCTTTCCCTAGGGCTTCCTGAGCACCATCTTTCTCACTTGCCTAATTGGTCATGTTCCAGGCTCTTGGAGGACTTTATGAAATCAGGCATGTGCATCTTCCCCAGTGTGTCTCCATAGCAACAGAGGGCCTAACTCGGGAGTGCGGTGAGGAGGAAAATGTTCCAGCTAAAAATGTACATGGCCATCAGTGGGCGGGCACCCGAGTGGGGGCTCCCGGCGCATAGAAGGCAGCCTCCCCTGCCTGTCCAGGAAGTCAGTGTTGCTCATGCTTTACCTCATATATCTTTGAACAAGAGGAGGCCCCCCTGGGCTGCCATCCCATGCCGCCTTTGAGGGCCGGAACGCAGATCAGTGGGGTGGTATGGTGCAAAGCAGCCTTTCTGGGACCAGAGGCCACCACCCTGTCCGCCTTCCTCCCCACACCCTTCCCAGTGTGGGTGGAAGTGGACGTAGAGGGGCAGGCTGCCAGTTTCACTTCCTAACCCCTTTTTGTGACAATTCCTTTTACTTCCTATATCTCTCTGGCAATGGGGTTGTTGGAGCCAAATATGAAGCGAAGCTCCTGGCCACCCTGTCCCAGAGTCCCCCGCTTACCCAGCATCTGTCCCTTGTCCCCAGTCATCTGACTGTCTTCCTGAGACCCTCACCTGCCAGGCCAGGCTGGGATGGGTGTTAGGTCCCAGAACCCAGATGTCCCCAGGAAGACCAGTTGCCAATGCAGGCAAAGGAGCTGCCCCTACCCATCCCCTCAGTTAGAGAACCGAGCCTGCAGCATATATTCCTCAGTCTCACAGCAGCCCTGGGGAGAAGGGCAGCTCAGCAGTGCAGCAGCAAGGCTGGGAGCAACAGACCCACTGACAGACTCGCACGGGCCAGATGCTGTTCAAGTGCTTTACAATAGACTGATTCGTGTAAACTTCACAGCTTTCAAGGCAGCTACTGTGATCTTTCCTATTTATAGATGAAGAAACTGAGGGCCAGAGAGTGGTGGCTTGCCCAGGATCACCCAGCTGATGCTGGGGAGACTCAAAGCCAGGTCTGCTGACTTGAAAGCCCATCCCTTGGGGCCAGAAGTGGGGCACAGCTCCCACAGTGGGTGATTTCGGAGGCTGGACTTGAAGCAGGTTTGGGGTGGGGACAGGTAAGATTTGCATTAGTCAAGGGCACGGTCACTTAACCATACCCAAGCCTGAGACACCAAACCTGAGGCCCTCTCTGGCTGGTAGCTGGTGGCCAAGCTGCTTCCTGCTCCTCGCCCCAATGGCCAGAATGCCCCTGCCCTAGGGCATCCTCACTAATCATCGCCCCCACCTTGTGCTTGCTCCTCAGGGTCTGATGCTGAGTCGGCTGGGCCACAAGAGCCTTGCCCAGAAGGTGCTGAGGGATGCCGTGGAGAGGCAGAGCACCTGCCATGAGGCCTGGCAGGGCCTAGGAGAGGTGCTGCAGGCCCACGGCCAGAGCGAGGCTGCAGTCGAATGCTTCCTCACCGCCCTCGAGCTGGAGTCCAGCAGCCCAGTGCTGCCCTTCTCCATCATCCCCAGAGAGCTCTGACACTGCTCTGCAGCAGCATTGACGGAGGGGGCTGCCCCGCGGGGTTTGGGGGGAGCAGGCAGGCAACAGGGAGCATGGGTCAGGGGAGGTATGGGGCCTCAGGGAAATACACCTCTAGGGAACACTTTTGTAGTCTGCAGCCCTAGTTCACCTCGCCTCCCCCACCCCACCCCTGCCTTCCTTCCAGGGCCAGCTGAGTCTGGGAGCTGCTCATCTGGGTCTGGGTGAACCAGATTTGCATCAAAAGCAAATTCCTTGTTCCTTGGGACTCAGACATTGTGGCGTTTATGAGCGAGGAAGTAGCCGGAAGGCTACATCAACATGGGGGCCGCTCCCCAGAGTACCTGTGCGGTTTGGATAGCTCCCTTCCCTCACCTAGAAAGCCCTGTATTATACCTCCCGCCCTCTCTCAACATCCTTGCCCCTGGATTTCTGACTTTGCACAAGCTCTAGTCTCGAACCTCAGCTCTCTGCTCTCCAACACCAAAGATGAACCCCATGAGCTACCTTCTGGACGGGCCAAAGCATTTTCCTGGGTTCCTCCCTCGGCGCCTCGGTAGACAGTCTGCTTGAACCCTAAATGACTTAGAGTCATGGTGACTGGACTTGCTCCCCGAGAGCCTCACAGCTGCACTTCACCCCACTCATGCCTCTGTGCCTTAGGAAGCCCCACGGCCCTCGTCCCACACCCAGTCGCGGGACAGGGTTTTGGATCACTCTCAGGTCTTGCCCAGGGCAGTCACAGCTTGAAGAAGCCACTGGCAAGTGGGAAGAGGATGGACCTCTGGATTCCTGTCCCAGACTATTAGTGGATGATGCACATCTCATGTTTCCTATCTTTGCCTGACGAGGCCATTTGGGCTTCACTGTGCTCTTCCGCCTCTGCCAAGTGCCTTTAAATCCTCTAATGTCTGACCAGGGGCACGGAGCACTGGCCTTAACTAACCTTCCATTTTTGCCCACCTCCATCTCCCTGAAAATGCCCCAACCAAGGCAGCCTCTTTAGGCCCTCAGCCATGGCCCCTAGATGAGCCTCAGGATACAAACATGGCTGCCGGACCCAACTCCTTTCAATACCTGCAGCAACACATCATTCCTTCAAGCCTTACCTTTTTGGGCAATGAGTACAATGCAGATCACTCTAGGGGTTATAATGTGGAGGTAGACAGTGCCTAGGACTGTCCCCAATTTATGCCACCACCCATAGCCCCTTTTCACCTCAGGCTTTCTTAGGTAACCCGAGCCCCACCCTGGCCATTTGGTTCCTCCTGCCTGGTACCAAATGACTGTGGTTGGAGACCTGAGGAGGAGACGGAGCCTGACACCTCCTGACTGGTTGAATAGGCCTCTGTGAACATGACACCCTTGCCTGCAGGGGTCCTGGGTGCTCATGGGTGGATGTCTTTCCTGCTGCTCCCCTAGCCTGCTGCATGATGCTCTTGGAATTATCCCCAGGATGTCAGCCCCCCACAGGCCTGTCAGGGAATTCCTTTTTTATCAGCACTTTTGGGTTTTAGTTTTAAAGCTCCATCAGGTACATCTCTTATTTTAAGGTGTGTGGAAAAGTCAGGCGGAGGCTGCCCTGGTTTGTCATTACTCAGTCTTTCTGTTGGAGACCCTCCCTCCTCACTGCAGTGGCTCAGCACTGTACCCCCAGGTGCTTCCTAGGGAGAGCCTGAGGCCCTGGCCTCCCACCGGGTGATCAGTGCTGCAAAGAACACCAGATCCTTCGCCTCTTAGTTGAAGGATCTGTGTGTGTGTGTGTGTGTGTGTGTGTGTGTGTGTGTGTGTGTGTGTGTGTGTGTGTAAATATGTATATATATATATGCACATATATATATAATAGAGATCTATTTTTATTCCAGAATTCTGTTTGAAAAAAATAAACAAGAAAAAAGCAAATGTCATTGATTTGCCTTGGAATGCCCAAAGACGTTGGTAATCAGTTCTTGGTACTAGAAAAGACACCAAATGCATTTTGAGTAGTAGTGTGCCTTCAGAGGAGGCCTCAGCGGACTGGGCCAAGTTGCTGACAGTTCACAGATTGCATAAAGAGACTCTTGAAGAGGAAGCAGGTTTCTCAAGTAGTGTGTTCATTCAATGCACAGCTTGCCCCAGAACAGGCCTTGATGGGCCCTGGAGAGGGGATTGCAGGAGAAGAGAGGCCCAAGGCGTCGCAAAGGCTAGAGCCTGGGTCCTGTGCAGAGAAGGAAGGAGGGGAGGGAGGGCCCCGCTGAGACTGATGTGAGCCCGGTGAGAGTGGATGAGCACAGCGGGGGCTTCGAGGTCAGGCAGCAGCCTGGCGGTGAGCGGGAGGAGGCAGCGGGATCCAGGCTGGGCCAGCGAGCGCGGATCTTCTGGCCTGCCACCTGTCCCTTCAGTGGGCCTGAGCCCCCTGCTGCCTCTAGGGCCCAGCCAGGAGAAGCCAGGGCTGGACTTGCCACCTGAATGGGAGGGACTGTTCCAGGGGCACTGCCAGTGGAGCCCCTGCAGCACCTGGGGGAGAAGCACCAGGGAGGGCTGTGTGGTGAGGATCCAGGCCGCATCTGGATCAGCCACCTACGCCAAGCGATCCATACCAATACCCTCCTGATATATGCTGTGCCACACACCCACGTACTACATATATTATAAAGTGAGCACTAAAATTTTAAAAGATGACATAAACTCACGCAGAAGCTCTATTTTCTTTGCCCCAAGGGACCGTCTGGCACACCCCCAAGCCTGCACCACCCACTTTGAAGACAGCTGCCCTTGAGGCTGCCCCTAGAGCTCAGGGTTGCCCTGGACTGAGCTTCCTGCTCCCGCGGCCTTGCT